CCCCAAAACCCCAAAACCCCAAAACCCCTATTAAAATTATATTTATCATCTAGACTTATGCCAATTAAAATATTTAAATTTAATAAGGTTAAAATGAGGACTTCTAATTACCCTAATCTTAAAGCAGTTCTATATCTATCAGGGGGCTTTTTCTTATAATTTGTTGCAGTAACATCTGCAATTAGTGTTGTTTCAACTACATTAAGAGAATGTGGCTTTAAGAATCTAGGATTTTACAGTTTGGCAGTAAATTATCTTGTGTTTGGGCTTTGTTCATTAGTAGCCCCACCTATTATTAGGAAATTAAAACCTATCTTATCAATGACTCTAGGATCAGTATGCTACGATATATGGTTGATAACTCTATCCTTACCAGCAATTTTGTTGAAGAGTGAAAAATTGAAATTGTATTTTAGCTATAATCAAGTTGTAGCAATAGTTTTAATAGCTAGCATTATTATGGGTTTTGGGTGTGCTTTAATTTGGGTTGGATAAGGCAAATATCTTTCAGATTGTTCAAAATACAAAATTGAGAGAAAAGGAGTCTATTCAAGCATTTTCTGGTTTACATTCTATATTTCCTCAATTTTGTCGAGTATTTTAGCTGCTTTAATTTTAGGCTCTTATCCATAAGAATATCTCTACTTTATATGCTTTATCATATCAGTTCTATCAAAAGTTATTTTGATTTCACTCCCTAAAATATAAACTGAGGAGTAGGATTAATAACTATTTTAAAATAATTAACCAGAACAAGTAGATTTGGATATCCTTAAACTTATTACTGATAAATAAATGATAGTGACTTACGGTGTATTTTTGACTTCTGCGCTATCTAATGGATTTAGAATGTCTGGACTATTTAGTTTTCTAACACTAACTCAAACTAATGAAACTATTCAGAATCAATTTAAATATGCGTCTTATGCTTAAGCCCTATTCGGGATTGGTCAAGCTGCAGGAAGTGCACTTTTTGGCTATTTAAGTGTGAAGCTTAAAAGTAATTTCAAATTGACTCAAGGAGCTATAATAGTACATATTATTTCTTATTCCTCAATGATATGGTGTAATGAACTTTATAAATTTGGATTTTTAAGCTTTTGCGCATGCTTCTTTTTAGGCATCTAAGATTCTTATCTTTAAAATCAAACTCAAGTGATAATGGGAGCTGAATTCAAATAAACCACAGAAGCCTTTGCTATCTTCAGATTATTTAATTCAGTTGGTGTAACATTCATCCTTTTAATAATATCAAACTTGACAAATTCTGAAAGATTTAGACAATTTATTATTGGAAGCTTATTATTTTCGATTTTTTCCTAAATTATAATGATAAAGCTATTTAAGTTTAGATAGTAACAAGGAGATATAGCATAGGATAATAAGAATTAGGCTATTGAGAGTCTTATTTAAAAGTGTTGAAATTCAAGAAATACGGATTTATTTAAGAAATTCCAATTAATTTATTAACTTTTTAAGTTAAGCTATTATTATTTACCGATCTTTTTACCTAAATTTTTGTTTAAGGGGTTTTGGGGTTTTGGGGTTTTGGGGTTTTGGGG